CCATGGATAGACACTGGTGGCATCAACTGTTTTCTTCTTTTGGGAAACAGAGCATCCATGCCTGAACCTTTCATGACCTAGAGCGTTTCGGGAGCATGGCATACAATGTAGCCTTGTTCTAGAAGTGTACCTAGATAAGAACAGAGTCCTTGGCAGGTGTAGGTCGGCTTGGGCACCGTGATGCTTCTGACTATGAAAGTTGCCGGCTTCGCATATACCAAAGCTTCTTGAATGAACTACTCTGTGACCGGTCATCACTGATGACCTGCAGTGTGAAGGTACGGCCGGGAACAATCGCCACTCTTCTAGCACCTGCACTGCAGCCAGTGCAGCACCACCAGGAACCACAGATCAAGTTGCGCATGCGGGGGAAGACACTTCGCATGCCACACGTAAAGATACTGCATGTCACAGGGATTCATTGACGAAGGACATGTTCCTCCTCGTGTGAGAGGGAGATCCGAAAGATACACTCGTGCAATGCATATTTCTGATGTGGAAGCAAAACAAAAACTGGCAAATTCTGCATTCTGTCATTGCAGAATTTTGTTCCTTCCGCTTTGCAGGCAAGTCCTCGTCGAAGATTGCACCAACATTCTCATGTGCGAATACAGTAACCCAGAACCCCAAACAGTCAAATTCAACGGAAGAAAGAAGCTACTCAAACACATCAAGCAAATCTTCCACAGCCAAGCTCCGTGCCGTCAGCACCCACCTTCGCCATGTGCACCCGGCTCTTCAAGTGACGCGACCTAGATTTGAAAAAAGGGTCAGGATTCGGGAAAGGAGGTTTCAGGGTCAATGTCTCAAAAACTCCAGCTTCTCATACACACTGTAAGGTGTCATGCCTGCATTCAACCGGGGCCCACAAAACCCCTTGACAACCCGGATCTCGAGGCAGCTGGGAGTCTGGCAACGCCTGTCCCTGATCCTCGGAGTGAAGGGAGACTTTGGGTTCTTAAAACCCAAAACCCATGAACTCGAACCCGCCTAGGCGAGAAAAGGAGAAACACGGCAAGCTCCCCATGTAAGGTTGCAATTTGAGTTCCTTTTCGATGCTTGCCGGCCTGGAGCCAAAGCAGCTCGTCTCGCGCCGTTTACGTCCCAAGCTGTCTCGGCGCCGGGCTGCGAGGATGAAGACCGTTGGAATTCGGGGCCTGAGACGACTGGGAGGGTCCCCCCATAGCCCTGAGTAAATGGTCGGATTCAAAGGGGTTTGGACTTGGAAATGAGTGCTGTGAGATTGCAGGTGGTGAGGTTTGGCATCGATCTAAAGCTTGAAACTGTGGGGGCAGCTGCATGGCCTAGGTAGGCCTAGTTGCGACTGAGGTCTTCAGCTGGGAGTTGAAAAAATTGCGGGCCTGCTGAGTTCTCGAAGGTGCATGGCGGAAAAGGAACTGTAGTAAGCAGTGTCACTGGAAACAGAATCACAAAGTCCACCCTCATCCCCACCAGCAATTCACTGCGGCTGGCCTAAATCAGTCGCACATGCTCATGGGACATATAGGCCTGATGGGTTTTCACGGTACTAACACCAAGACATCGACATGCTCAAGGAGGGTTGCCACGCCTTCACGCAAGGCAAGAGCTCTGATGGGCCAAAGCCTGAGGATGCCGCGGCACGAATTCCTCCACACCCTCCATGGATTCGATCGCCTGAGATGCAGACTTGCCTTCCGAAGTCTTCGAAATGGCAGGAGTTTTGGGCCAGGAATATACGAGCTCGGTATCATATTGCTCGGGGCGAAAGTTAAGGGATTCCCCATTCGCAGCAGTTGCATCGCTGCTGCCCAGAAGTACCAGAAGCCCAAGCAAAGCAGATGAAATCTCGACAATCTGTCTCATGCGCGCTTGTTTACGGCTGCAAGCCACTAGAATCAGACGGCCGTGCCCGTCATTCGACGGGTCGTGCTGACTGCAAAGACGGCGGCAGCCGGAAAAGACCGAGGCCGCGTCGTTTTCATGGCGCATGACGGTCCATGTCCCAACAGCTTTTGCAAAGATGCTCAACTCAGAGCCTGCAATCAGCAAACCCGCAAGTGAGCCCGAAACTCCCCTTGTAGGTTTAAACTCTTAGCTTTAAACGTGAACACCTCTGAACAGGACCATTCGAGAGATAGGAATTACAGCTAGGTCTCCGCAGACTGCAATCCTGAGTCCAAGCCTCAAGGCGAAGCTTTGTAGGCCTCGTCTAGACCCATCCAGCTCCCCAAAAAAATTCACCAACTTAGTGCCTATCCATTCTTCTCAGTGAGCGAATTTTTGACTAAACTTGTTCAGCAGTTAAATGACACAACATTGGTTGCAGCCAAGGACATGTCTCGACAGCGGTACATGACGATGCTGTGCTGGCCTTTCACAGCATCTAACTCTCGTCTGGCTACGTTTGATCGAAAGTCGCAGACAAGATTCGTCACCGACGTGAAACAGGCATGTCAACGCCCAGCAACAGCAGCGCCTCCCTGGTCTCTTAGTTCCCAAAGATGTGCGTCTAGCGTCGTCGACTGTCCATAACAGCGCTACGGATCCCGTACGTCATCATCGCAAAACACAAAACGCTAAGGCCAACCACGCGGTATGGGATGCGGCATCCGCTTATGTGGTTCGCAACCCCCGACTCGAAGGCAGCGCTGCTGTGACAGGCGACGAAACACTGCAGGCATGGAGTTGCACTCCTTCTGCTTGAACTCCGTGTGCTCTTCTGCCGCGCCCTCTAAGGACAATGCAGAAAAGCAAGCACGCAGCAACAACTCCTGATTATCAGGAGGAGGCAATGAAAAATATTAAGAAGTTTGTCGCACCATCTGCGTCGTCTTTATGTGGCTGTAAGACGAGTTGTTGAACACTTTCTGCACGCTCCTCGGTTGCTCATAGGTAACTTTCCTGAAGTCTCCGACATGCTTGCTACAAGCAGTGGACACGGCTGCAACAAAAAATGATCAAGGTCGTAGACGTTTTGAGCAACAAGCGGGAATCATGTTGACTTCAACTTAACTTTGCAGCTTAAACATGGACACAATACCCTGGGCAACATTGGCTCGTCCTCTATGTACAACAAGAGCCGACAAAGCTCTTACCCACGGTAAGCGCCAAACCGAGCTGCCGCCACTGCAACCGAGAGGCTGCAAGCCCACCGAGTCCGTGTTTGGCTGCAGGAGTTTTAAAACCTCCTCGAAGAGCACCTTGAGCTTCTTGGGCTAGCTTGCGGACGACGACTCTGGTTGACATGATGGCTAGCAATAGAGCCAGGAGTTCCGACCGTTACAGTCGTCTGTCAGAAATAGCGAGCAGTTCCTGGAGCCTCGTATGACAGTCAAGTCCAACTTAGAGCGCGTCTGGGTGGGCTCAATAGGAATGACACTGTCACGAAACAAGTAGGGAGTTCAAGGACGGCTGTGAAGAACAAGAGCTGTGCTTGTCACGCTGAACCAACAGGGTTGCAGTGGGGAGGCATGCCGTTGTACAACACAGCCGCATATCATGAGAAACTCTCACTACAAAGTATTCCCCAGCAAATGAATATAGAGTTTTCACTGTTTCGAGGTGACCGGTAGACCAAGGGTGCCTCAACCTTGGTCTCCACGCGCCAAATATCCAGCGCTTTCGCCTTGCAGTCTTGAAGACAATGCACCCGAGAGACGGGATTATGCATGCATGCACAAGTGCTGATGCGTATGCATGCGAATATGCATGTATGTATGTATGTATGTATATATGTATATATATATATGCGTGTATATATATATGTATATATATATATAGAAATACATAAATACATAAATATAAATATAAATATAAATATAAATAAATAAATAAATATATATATATATATATGTATATATATATAGAAATACATAAATACATAAATATAAATATAAATATAAATAAATAAATACATAAATATATATATATAACTTCATACACATACATGTATACCTACATGCACGCATGCATACATGCATGCATATAAACATTTATAAATATGTCTCTATGTATGTATGTATGTATATATATATGTGATATATATATATATATATATATTTGATATATATATATATATATTTGATATATATATATATATAAATAATATATATATATATACGCGCATGCATACATACATGTTGGTATATGCGCACATGCATGCATACTGACATGTGTACATCTGGGAAGCTACATCTGAATGTGCATCTCTCTCGCTCTCTCTGCAGACATGTTAATATGCATGCATGCGCTGCATGTGCGTTGCTCAACAGGCGCCATGCAACATACAGGAAATGAACATGCATGTTGTGGGATGGCATGCCGTACATACAGCTGCTCGATGTACGAAGCTTTGCGCCGCGTCAGTTGCGATTCGGAGGGCCGGGGCCGTCACTGTGAGACATGCGGAAACCGTGCGCGCTGGGCGGATTGGATTTGGGTTTCTCTGTGGGCGCTGGCTGCATTCCACTGTCTTACAACATGTAAGAGACATTCCTTTTTGGAGAAGCACCGAAGCTTCAACAAAAAGGCACTGATCTGATATTCGACTTGCACCACTAAGGGGTCCAAGAATATAGTCTTCAAAGGAAAGCGACGACAGTTCCAGGCAAGGAGCACTACCCCTGAGCCGTGCGGCTCCGTCAATGAACTCCTGCGAGATGTTTGGCAACTCAGAAGTTCAGGACTTCCGGGGGCTTTGCTTGTAAATTAAAGGCCTGGGAACCTTACAAGTGGGTTTCGAGCCCAGTTTTGCTCAGTTGAAGCAGAAATTCCGGACTTTTGGGTCCGAAGTCGCGATAGCTGATCGGCAAACATCTGCCACATTTTTTAAACTGCCATGCTGGCATCCGCGACACTTGCTGTTTGATAGTGGTCCTCAGCCCTCAGCATTTTCTGGAGTGGGTTTTGTTGTTGCTTGCACGCTAAGCTTGTCATCGTGCTTTGTAACCCTTCCGGTTTCAGGAGTTGTTTTCGGAAGAAACAGTCCAGGGCTCAAGGCCTAGAGTATGGCGCCCCCTTTAAACTGACTCACTCTGCATCAGAGTCTCCATGAGGGTGATCTCGCCATCGCCGTTATCCAGAAACCTGGGGGGCGTGGGGGGACTACGGGGTTGGCGGCCGGACCAGGTGACTTGAAGCCCTGCCTAAACGAAACGCTAGCTAGACTCCTTCTGCAACCTGCCTTGCAGCAACTGATGATGTACGGCGAAACAACACAATCCCCAAGGCTTCGACTGCAATGTTCAGAGTTTGCGCTTCCAACCCGGTTTAGGGCGTCTCACTTGGCTTCCGCAGTTTCCCCAGTAATGTGATTTGATGAAGCCAATAGTCAATTCCAGGAAGCCCCGAAAATTCCATCTCGTTTAAAGGCCTCTTCGCACCAGGGTCCAAACTGAACCTTAAGAAAATCGAGGCACTCGAAGAGACTGAGTAGGTCGTGGTACTCCAGCTCAAGCTGGCCCATCCAGAATTTCAGTTTTGGAGATTGTACCAGCTTCGAAAACTCCTTGGGCCGAGAGCTCGGGATCATGATTGCTTTGTTTTCACTGAGATCGAAACGAGGCCAGGAGTTGCTAGTGCCGCAGTTGGGAGTGACTCCTGCTCCTCATTCATTCCTGACGCTACTCTACTCTTGTATGTCGCGTTGCCTCCAACAGCGACGACCTGCCGCTGAGGCTACAAACAACAACAACAACACCAACAACACCAACAACACCAACAACAACAACAACAACACCAACACCAACACCAACACCAACACCAGCAACAACAACACCAACACCAGCAACAACAACACCAGCAACAACAACAACACCAGCAACAACAACAACAACAACAACAGCAACAGCAACAGCAACAGCAACAGCAACAGCAACAGCAACACCACCACCACCACCACTACCACCAACAACAACAACAACAGCAACAGCAACAGCAACAGCAACAGCAACAGCAACAGCAACAGCAACAGAAACAGAAACAGAAACAACAACAACAACAACTACAACTACAACTACAACTACTACGGGGATGACGACGCTTCTACCACTGCACCACCTGCTGCCACTGGCGTTCGCACTGCCCCCATATCGAGTTTTGTTCTGTGCGCGTGTCGTGAATGACGCTGATGCAGTGGTGGCGGTGGTGGCGGTGGTGGTGATGGTGTGCTGCTGCTGCTGCTGCTGCTGCTGCATGTCACTGTTATTGAAACTTGCATGTGTATTTGTCAAGGCAGTTTCCTGCTTCCATTCTGATTGTCAGTTTAACGAATCCCAAAAGATTGGACATGCTGTTGTCCTCGCCTCGCCTCTGTCATCATCGTCATGGCGATGATCATGATCTGCATCGCCGTCATGGCTCCCACCACCCGAATCATCATCATCATCATCATCGTCATCATTAGCATGTTTATCCTTGACCGCCATTCTCATTCTTGGGCCGTCATTTTCATCAGGTCTATGTGCATTATAACCTTCGCTTTCATGGTAATCTTCAGCCCGAAGTTGCATCCATCAGTTCAGTCGTAGTGATGTCGGCGAAAAGCGTAACGGACGCAACAGGTGGCAACCATGACAGGCCATTGACCACATTCTCTTGATTTCGGATCTGGCGCTTTGTATTCTCTTGCTGCCGTGGCGCCGTAAGGTTGATGGCGCCATCTCCTGATGCATCCTTGGTCTTCTTTCAGTGAGGTCATGGGGAACGGTTCAGGGTAGCTGCTTCTTGCTCGGTGGCCTTTCAAGGGTATACGAAGCGATTCCCTCACCATGACAAGGTTTAGTTCCGGCTTTGCCTTCGAACACTGGAATCTCCGGAATGAGACAAGAATTCTGCATTGCCCGGCATCCATCGTCTGGAAAAGCTTCTTGACTTTCCGGGTGTAGGACTGGATATCCTGCAGCAGGGAACATTTCTCCCCATCTCTCTAAAACGCAGCGCGGAATTCAGCAGATCTCGGAACGCGCTTGCTTGCTGCGTTTTTGAGTTTAGAGGTTTTTTGTTCTTCAACTCTGGAGAGGCCTTCTCCTTCTGTTTGAAGGCAATCTCTTCATCAGAGCTCGCCGTCTTCATAGTCTGCCTTGCACAAGATTCTCGGCTGGCAGCTCTTGAGGGAGGGCGGATTAGGCATCCTAGAGTGGGCTGAAGTGATTAGCAACAGGCCCTTGGATATTCTGGCCTTCCGAAGCTCAAATCCCATTGGCCTGGGCTACTACCGAAGAAGCTGTGGGGGAAAGTACGATCCTCTTTCGTTCAGAGTGTTCTCAACCTTCCAAAGCTACGGACAGCCCCCCCCACACCCCGAAGATACAGCTCGATCCGATCTGTCTTGTCCGGGGCAGGGGCTGCACAAAGACGGCGTTGATGATGTTCAAGACGGCAAATCCTCGGCTCAAGAGCTTTGGGGATGTACGATGTAAGCTTTGCGGCTCATGGTTCGAGCTTGTCACGTAGGCCTTCTAGAGCACGAGGCGGGTCGGCGGAGACCGAGGAAAGGAGAGGGAGTGAGGGATCGGAAGGTTTGCCCATGACAAGAACCTGCTCGACTGATGACCCGCGCCAAGCGCCCCTTTTCATGACCTGAGCCCGAAATCAGCGCTTCACACCATCTGTTACGGCAGCTTGTGCGAAGAACGTAAGGCAAATGACACAACATAACCAAGCCAGCAAGTTGTTGCCACCTACCCTTGGGTTTCACGTTTCACGACGATAAAGCGATATGAAGCCCTGCTTCTTTCGGGATGATAGGGGAGAGCCGGGTTTTGGTCCTTCCGACACAGGACCTTCCCTTTCGTGTACTCAGACCAAACCACAAGAACAGAAAGCCCCTTACGCGCAGGTCGTTGTCGAGATTCCAAGGATACATCGGTAGAAAAGGAAGAAGAGCGAGAACCATTCGCTCACCTGATCTGGAAGGGTGTGGGATCTTGAAGCTCAAAGCAGAGGCAGCGACTTTGGGCTTCGGGGCTTTGGAACTCAACTCGGTTCACCACGAAATCTCTGCTAACCCCGGGCTGCTCACGGACCCTCAAAAGCCTTCCTCCACGGTCCCCGTGCCCCTTGCTCTCGGAAACCTGACGCTTCAAGGTTCCTAGACTGCTCGAACTTCCGAACAATCAGCAGCAGGAGTCGTAGCAGTGGTAGTAGGGCACGGACGGGAAGAGGAATAGGAGCATCAGAAGCCGCAGTAGGGTGTAGTAGCAGCAACAGTACCAGTTCACAAGCACGACCATGAACTGCTGAACTGCCCGAACTACCAGAGTTACAACCAATAATTGAGTACAATAATGAGGATAATGGTGCGCATGAGAACCCTCAGAACAGTAGAAATCGGAAATGCAGAAGTCTAGTACGAGTAGCAACACTGGCAACATCATGTCATCGAGGCATCATACCAACACCCAGATTTTGCAGCCAAGCGGCGTTTTCCATCAGAACCCGGCACGCCGGACCCCAATTGGCCTGGACCGTCAGAGATTAGGGTGCCAGGTAACCTTCAAAGCGATGTAGATGCCTTGTTAGATCCATACGAGTTCGATCCACTGTACGATAAGAGCTTCCCTGCAACTTCTGTCCGCTGAAGGTCAAGAAAGCCTTGACTCTTCTTGGGTCTCATCATAGGGGCTCAGCCCTGCCATTATGATGATGACCGGTTATTGTAGCGGCTGTAAGAATACTACGGTGACATTTGCAACCATGCGATGCTCAGTCGGCAGCAAAATCCCATCAAGACAGAACGAGTGGCGAAAAGCACCTCGAACATCGTGAGGAAGGTCCTGCCAGGAGAGCTACCAAAGCTTGATGTTCTTAGCTTTCATGTTATCCTTCGAGTCCTCTTCAGGTTCCTGGCTTTCAAGGGAGCGCAAGGTTCACTGGAATCAGAAATCTGGGTTGGTGCTAGGGTACGTAGGGCACGGGAATTCTGGACATGGAGTGCCTTCTGCCGAAACACAAAGCCTTTCACTCGGTGTTCGGGCGATGGCGTCAACGCCTTCAGCCGCTGCTGAATCCTAGCATCCAAGCCACGACGGATTGGGAGACAAATGGGCCAAAGGAGCTGTCAAGACAGTTGCGTTCCCTAACTATCTCGTTCAACTTGGGTATAGTCCCTACAAGAAACCCCATCTGCCAAACCCGTATGAATTATAGAACCCTCGCAGCACATTTGTCGAACCCTCCTTCTAGAATTCGCACACCACCCCACGTATCGTGACCCGGCGGGCCTTGAGAAGGTGCCATAGAGCAGGAACACTTCCTCCCTCACGGTGACGTCTATCGACCTTCAAGATTTTAGATCTCGGGGTACAGGATTGCGGCATGGTAGAACACAAGCAACTCCGCTGGACTTCGAGGGCTCGCGGTATGCTCTGAAATCCGTTGAGGAAAAGAAAGGCCTTTATACACTGACTCGCCAGTTACGCAGCAGCTTTGCCTTCTCAAACTTAGGGGTCGTGAATTTTCGTGAGGCTGTTGTGTTACGAAGCTCCGGCCTTACAGGTAGATCACTCTGCACTGCAAGTGCAGTTGGAGCCATGGTGTTTCAAAAGTACTCGGAGATTCAGGAGTGTCTCTTGATAGCTAAACCATACTAGTTGCCTGCGCAGTTTTGTGAATAGTGCCTTGTAGTGATGTTGATAACAGCACCGCAATGCCACGGTGTACACCTACTACCCTGCGTGACAAAGCTGTTGCAGGTCTTGCGTTGATTGCAAAATGGTGCTCTGGCCATGCAAAGCATTCCCGTAGCACTGAGCTTGCCTTGCTTTCTGTGCGAGATCAGACCATGATTCGACCGACCTCTAAGACTTGTGTGCCCACATCTTGAACTTCCCTCGTAGCTGGGGTAGCGACGCATCGGCAATGAAGTCGAGGCAAAGTGTGCTGATTACCAGCCCAGCCACGCACTGCACAAATGTAAGCCTCCCATGGTGAAACCCAAGATTTCACGGGGGCCTGGGACCTGGGTTTGGGGCATCAGCATGAAAATTATTTAAGATGCCAGACTGAACTTAAGATGCGGGTGCTCGCGTGAACATGTCATGCTTCAACACTGGCAGTCTTCGCTGAATTTGCCTTCTGCGCCGCTCATACTGCCGACGGAACACACACAAATCCAGTGTTGGTACTTTACAAGCAATTCTCCAAGCTCGTCATGAAGATCCTCACAAGGGCCAATGGTCGGGAAACTGACTGCTTACCTCTGCCAAGACTACGCTAAGAAGGGGCTTGATGCGCTCGCACCGGTGTCGGTTATGGTTGCATGCAGTCCTTCTGGCAGTTCATAGGATAGCTCAGGGTTATTCTGTTCTTTCAACTTGGCCCGCCAGAACACGAAAGGGAGCCGAAGTCTGCATTGAATTGAGCCGGGGAGCAGCAAAAAACTCCAGAATAACATGTTGGCGCTGGACATGAGGCACCTGACTGGGCTGCCGACTTTAGGAGCCTTAATAGTTAGAGTAGAGTTTCAGGGCCCATGATACCATGATTATAACAAGGAACCCCACCAAAACAGCATTGGTAATTACTTAAGGCTTCACATCTGGGCAGTTCTCTACCATAGGGTCCTTTTGTGGTCCCCAATGTAGTATGGCACCCTTATAAACAGGACCCCAAAAGGGACCCTAATTTAGAGAAGTACGGTTGATGAGATCAATCCTGCATTATACATCATAAGGAATACACCATAATTCCCATAGTTTAGGGTCCTTAAGGTAATGCAGTATATATATCATCAACAGTAGTAGTACTAGTACTTTATTAGATACTTATACTTGCGAATAAGCGCCACAAAAAGTTCATCAACAATACCCATCCGAGGATTTCTGACTCAGTCCACAGAGGCCTCGGGAACGGTTCAAGGGGCACTTAGCAAGACACGGAGACCACGACCGACCCCCCCCGCCTCCGAGGCCTCAAGAGAACAGAATCCTTTTAGGGGTTTTTAGGGTTTGGTTTAGGGTTTAGGGTTTTTGATGGCTCTCAAACTACGAAACCATATTCTGGAAAGGTCCATATCTCTCCACTGTCTCCGTGATGGGTGCTCTCTGCCGAGGTCTCCAGCATTCTGCAGACTTCAAAACCCACTCCGAAGGCCCTGAACCCACTCTGTGCCCAGGCCCCTAAACCCTAAACCCCTAAACCCTAAGCCCTAAACCCAAAACCCTAAACCCAAAGCCCTAAAGCCCTAAAGCGCACTCTGCAGCAGGGTCCCGAGTTGCAGCCGGGGTGCTTGACGAGCAACTGCAGGGACGCCAGAACCTCGGAGATGTGGAGTTTGGACTTTCGGGCTCCAGGGTAATGTCGTGGTTTGTTAGGGGCTTAGGGTTTAGGGGTTTAGAGTTTAGGGGTTTAGGGTTTAGGGGTTTAGGGTTTAGGGGTTTAGGGTTTAGGGGCCCCATAGGGAATTGCCCATACTATTTTGGGGGGGGGTTCCTTATTTTTTGTCATGGTATCATGGGCCCCATGACCCTATTCTAAGTATTTAAGGCCCCCCTATTATCCGATGTCAGGGCTCCAATTTCGGGGTGGTCCGGGGAACTAGAACTGTCAACACGTAAAGGGCTTCCGACAACAGCAACAGCCGCTCCCCTGCTACTACTGCCACTGCCTCGGCCACTAGAGCCCCTACTCCTACACCCACTACTCGTACTGTAGCTACAGCTACAGCCGCAGTTATAGCTACAACAACTTCTACTACGGCTACTCCTGCTTCCACAGCCACAGTTGCTGCTCCCACGCCTCCTACTGTACATTGCCCTAGACTTGATCGACAGATGGAGAAGCTGCATTTAGAAGGAAGGCATCAACGTGAGGGAAAGACCACGCGACAGACAGCAAACAAAATTTCGGACAAAGTCAGCGTGGTTACTGAAACACATTGTCAAGCTTGGGGAAGCTCCCGCCGTCCAAGCAGCAGAGGTCATATGCACCATCCGAAAGGCGCGCGCAAGCTTGCCTGCACAGAGATGGAGCTAGCGCGGCCATATTTCACAGACCTTCCAATGGCAGCATCCATTTGCCCGCCCCAAACACCCTACCCGACCCTAATGCAGGGGCCTCAATAATTAGAATAGGGTTTTGGGGTGTATTGTACTATATTCTGTAATAAGGAACTCCCCAAAATAGTATAGGTAGTGTCGTTGTTAAAGCAGCCCTCCCCAAAAATAGGACCACCAGGCCCAGCGGCCCAAAGCCATGAACCCGAAAAGCCAAGGGAGGATGTTTGCCAGGCCAGTGATATACATATATACATATATATATATGTGTATATACACAATATTATATATATACATATATATATATCTAGGTAAACAATACTGTATACATACATATACATATATATACATACATACATACATACATACATACATACATACATATATATATATATATTGATTATATTAAACAAACAAATAAAAACAAACAAATAAAACAAATATACATATATACATAGATAGATAGATTGATAGATAGCCCCGTGCTCGAAGCACAACACACGCTCCGGGTGGGAGTGTTGAATCAAGGATTTAGAGTTGGGGTTTGGTGACTTTTGGGTTTGGGATTTATGCCGAGGCACCAACCTCAAATGCGGAGTTGTGACATTCGGCTGCAAGTGGGGTGTTCTGACTCTATATTCTGGACTCTTGCATCAACAAAGTAGAACCCTAACCCTAAACTCCTCTATGAGCACAGTGAGAAGAATGCGTATCAGTGCTGCAGTCCCCATCAACATGCCGCGATCCTATTCGCAGTAGCCGGAACAGCACCGGGTTCACTGGCATGGTGGTTGCATAGAAGACCTGGGCTCCACCGACTCGCTTGACCGTTTTTGGGTTTGGGTGTAGGCCTTGTGGATCCATGGCTTTTCTGAAGTATGGTCATATGCCAAGCCCCTTTGCTCACTGAGGGTGACGGAAAGAGTTTCGAAAGTGCAACGGCCCCGGGACGCGAAACGGCAGAGGTGGCTTTCTTTATGGGAAGATCCGATGATCGTCTCGGCCTCAAAGGGTTTCGCTGTCCCTCTTGCCACCCAAAGCCACACACGCCAAGAACTAACTTCCGAACTAACACCCTTCCTTATTGTCCGTCAACCTTTCGAAATCCAGGAAGCTGTGATTTCCACCAAGGATGTGACCACCACGCCTGAGGATTTCAGGCCACTTCTGATGTTAAAATTCTCTAATCTCCAAAACCCATACGGACGGAGGAAGGCTGAAAGCAGTACTACCAAAAGTACTAACAGGAGCAGCACTACCAGCAGTAGCGCCCTCAAGTTTCAACTGCCTTTTGCCCTTTCAAGTGGCGCGAGTTTCAATAAAAGGGCAACCCGAACACGTGGCATTGTTTACCAAGACCCCCAGAACGCCGTGATATTGACGCTCACGAATATTGTCCGTTCTATAACAACACCAAGGAATGACCCTTACTTCTAGGCAGCTTCCATGTTCAACATATTGAACTCCTGAACCTTCCATGCTAAAACCTAAGCCCTAAGCACCCGAAGAGCCCTAAAACGGCACCTTCTACCGGATCATTAAACATGACCTTCCTCTGTCCAGCCTAAATCGACGTAGTTCATCCACGTTAGCCAGAAGAGTCGACCTGAGCCGTGTTTTGCTCGATGTGGCTCTGAGTATCATTGCGGCTATGAACCTCACAAACTCGCAGTTTCTGATGCTAAAAACAGCTTGTGTGTGCAACTTTGCACAACATCGACATAGTCTGCGTGCCTGGGATCTTGCAGCCGTAAATCGGACTGCGAGCGATGCTGCCAGGTGATATCATTCCTTTCTGTATGACACGATACTTGCTTCTCCTGTGTGGTCGTTTCTATTGTGTATCTTGAGCTCTTTGCTTAGCATTTGTTTTCGTTGTATGGTATGCTGCATTTCTGTATTGTCGCTTTCCTCCTGGCATTCTTTCGTTGCTTCTCTTTCTTTCGTCCTTCCTTCGCGCGGCATCTTCCCTTCCTGCCTCAACTTGCCTTCCCAGGGAAAGTCAGGGAAACACGGGCAAACACCGGCTCGCGGCTTGGCATCACCGACAGGAGGCGCCATGCTTGTAAAAGGGATCTCCCGACGGGGGAACGTCAGATCAGGACTCCAGCAGGAAAGTCTATTCTAGGGTTGAAACCGTGGGCCCCTAGTAAGGGCCCTTAAGTCAGGGACCCCTAAATACCCAATATATACCCTATATGTACCCATATGGGTCCCTAGAATCCCCCTAAAAGGCCGTCCATGTTCGGGGCCCATACTTCCAACCTTAGGTCATTAGACAGACCAGCGGCCCAGAAGGCATATGCGTATCACAACATCGATGAGAAAAATGATCGTGAAGGTGATGTCGCCTTGGCACGGGGCTGATTCCTTTGGGAATTTTTAGGGCCTATGCTGCGAAACTAGCTTGCAGGGAGTTCTTTGCTCGAAATGTCGGGGGTCGATGAGCGTGACTGTTGCGAGCTCGGTTTCAGGCCGTCCCCCCTTCAAGCTGGCCAGCAATCAGCACTGAAAGTCCTATCAGGCATGGGCCAACTGTGGCAGGTCTGAACGGAACATGAGGTTCTGTGCAGGCGAGATTGCATCCCTGCACATAGCGCAGCCAGGAATCAGAAGCGAAGCCCCGTCACTGCTACATCTCGCGCAGGGAACGCAGTGCTAAAAAACGCCTCATAAACGGTAACTGCAAACGCCTAATCTCCACCCAGAGCTCGAAGCCCCTACGCCCCTAAACACGGGAACCCCCCCGCTCTTAACCAGAGGAGGTCACCGATAGCAATCGCAGATTCCCAGGAGGAGAGGTCGCCATCGACGAAAAAGGGCCCCTCGTAGATGCCGATCCTGCAGGGGAATAATGATATTCATAATAATACCAACAACAATGATGATAATGATAATAATAGCAATAATAATAATAACAATGATGATAATGATAATAATAGCAATAATAATAATAGTA